TACCTGCCTTGATTCTTTTTTTTTTTTTTTTTGCAAATGTGTTTTTTTACCACTTTATGTCTTTTACCCTTACCAATTTAGCATTTATCATTTTGTGCTGCGACTTATGACTAATATTTTGAAGTTTTTTTAATTTTTGAACGAAAAATTGAATGTTTGAACTATTTTTCATGATTAAAAATTATGAATTAAAATTATATTTATTTTGTGGGATCTTAGAATCCCGATCCCGATCTTACGATTCCGATCTTGCAAACCCAAAAACGATCCTACGTAGGATCCCGATCTTGACAACCTTGGTTTGATCGATAAATCAACATCAAAGCTTTATAAAACATAAAATTTATCTTATATAGCTATCTTTTCAAACTTATGATAAAATATTTGAATATTGTTAGGTAGTTTTTATTGATTATATTTCAAACTATATTAAACGATGTTTTCAAATTATGAAATTAGGTTTTCTTTTAGCATCAACATGCCAATCATTGTGAACTATTAAAATATTGTCAAAGAACTCTACTTTTTTAACAGTTAGTATGTATTTTTTTTAACATCAATAGTTTAGGGTTAAAATCATAAAATACAATCAATAATATATAATTCGTTCTTTAGGTCATTTATATTTTATTTGTATTCAATAGTTTACTAAAAATGTTTTTGAGTTGGCATTACACTATGAGTGGATTTCAATGGGATATTTCTATCATATCGGAGGCCAAATTGTATGCAACACCAAGGTCATGCATGTAGCCCTAAATGAACAGTTTTTCTCATATATGATGCCACACAGAATTCAATAATACTAGTTGTTGAAATCAACCTCAATGGTGCTAGAATCCCAAAACAATTATTGATCTACTCAATACAATTAAAAGATAAATGACCAAATAGCAAAATGATAGCATGCTATTGGTAGTCATTTTATAATCTTAAATCATTACTTTGCTATCTAACACCTAAATATCAAACTGCATGTAGGATCTTCTCTCCGTCCCTTGTGCAACATTAAGCTTGAAACAGAAAGCCATATTTTCATCGAGTGTTCTATAGTAAAGGATGTCCACGCAGTCCATTCTCAAGAATTGGTGTGCTTACATTCCCATATGCACTGACCTTGTTTAAGCGGTGTGTAATTAAGTTGATTCCGGTAAGGTTCCTCGCCAAAAAATCAGATTAATTATTATGGTGGTCCTCATGGTTTTTGCGTGGATCATTTGAAATCAAAGAAATGCAAAAGTGTTCAACAAGAAGGTGAAGAATATTAAAGATTTGGCTGACCAAATTAAAATATTAGCTTTTAATTTGATAAAGATTAGAGCTAGGAAAGGTACACATCTTAATCCGATAAAGTAACGCCTCCACATCTTATAATACCATTCCTAGCTTCTCGCTAGATTTTCTTTAATAAATACCTTATTGTTCAAAAAAATAAGGCTATTTAATTCATAGTTTATGGTTACATGTGACATGTGGCATGCAGGTTTATTTTTTGATGAACTTCCAGTTTATTTTTCTCTTCTTTACAAAAAGATTAATAAATGACTAATTCTTTAAGTGTACATCATATCAGACGTTAAACTGATGATCACCACATTAATATAAAAAGGTAGAAGAATTAAACATAGATCACACCCATAATTAGTACATGATAATTACCACTTAATTACATACTTCGCTAACTAAAATAGATAATAATATATCAGTTATAATATCCATAGGAGTTGAGACTGAGCTCAAGGGAAGCACGGCCGTCAGAGCGGTACCAGTTTCCTCCGGTGTAGTAACCTCCAGCAGTATGCTCCGATGACAAATCTGTTGCCTTCATGCTGAAGAAATCATGGTGAGTGCCTCCATGAATTGGAAATAAAGGAAGTGTTTCAATCTGTGTTGAACTATCTCCTTCATCTTGATGTTCTTCCTCTTGATGATGATTCTCTAAGATCTCATATCTTTTTGGCTTGATATTTTCAAAGAAAGAAAATGATTCGACACCAACCCGTGATCTTGATCCGAAATTCCGGCCAATTGATCCGGTGGCCCTACTCTCTCCCGGCGGTGATATTGAACACTCCTATATACAACACAAAGGGCAGTTTTGTTATATCCTTTTGTCAATAGTAGTATTTGTTTACTTTTTAGGTGTTTAAAAATTGGCATTATCTTTATCATTTTTACAAATAGCAAAAATAATCATTTAAACCCTAACCCCAGAATAAAATTTTCACATTCCCCATGAAATTCTAATGAACATGTTCGACGAGAATATTTAGAGTATTTTATTTAGAGAGTGTCTTATACATTAAATGAAGTGTGTGTAAGTGTGTTTGTTTATATTTATATTTATAAATATATACCCTGAAACTCTTCTCCATGGCGACAGATCCATAGCCACACCCAACAGCCATCACTCCTTGTGAAGAAGAAGAACCAACCCCTGCGAAAGATCTCAAAAAATTCAAAATTTAGCCACAAATTATTAGAAAAATGCAATCTTTACAAGAGAAAAATCAAAACTAGGAAATGACTATGCATAATACAGATATATGTAACGGGATTTATTTTGATCATAAATTAATTACCAATGTGATGTGTGGTGTAGAGTTTGTGTTGGTGGCTATAGACATGTGGTGGTTCTTGATGGTGGTAGTGATGATGGTGAGACTGAATTTGCATGGCGGGGGCGGTGGGTAGATGGTGGTTGATATGATCAGAGAACGGAGATGGTGGTGGAGGAGCAGGAGTGAATCGTTTTTTCTGCCTTTCACGAGCTTTATGGTTCTGAAACCAATAAAACACATTCTTGCCTTCAATCTTTCCGTACTGTCTGAGTTGGGCAGCGATTCTCTGGATCTGATCAGCCGTTGGTGATCTGATTCCATTGTTGTAGTAAAGTTCTTTCAAAATTCTGATCTGATCACTTGTGGGTGTCCACCTCGTGCTGCTTTGCCTGCATACATAAGTGCTGCTGGTTTTGTTCCCTAAATCTTGAATATCTGCTGGTTGTTGTTGTGTTTCCATGGTGTTTCTAATCAATTAAACAACAACAGACTGAAACAAAACCCTAATCACAAAACACCTAGAGAACCTTACAGAGAGAGAGAGAGAGAGAGAGAGAGAGAGAGAGAGGGATCATCAGTTCTAGTTTGTATGAAGTAGATGGTGGAACAGCTGCTGCTTATATAAGCAGAAAGGAAGGAGTGTGCACATGGAAGATTTAGCTACAAAAACACATACACTGTGTGTATGAGAGAGAGAGAGAGAGAGAGAGAGAGAGAGAGAGAGAGAGAGAGAGAGATCTGGAAGAGAAGGATTGAAGTTGACAGAGTGATGTTAAGAAAAAGGTTAGGGACAAAAGAGGGACTAGAAAGGTTGCTACACCCAAGGCTTTGCTTGGGTGAAAAGCCATTTGTGAGCAGTCACTTATATCGTTACTTTATAGGGCTATCCCTTGAGCTAATGAGCTGAATGTATCAAACAGAATATGATAAATGTACAACTTGTGATACATGCTGTACTAGTCAGCTTTGGTTGTTATCATAAAAATTAAAGAGTTCTTGTTCCAAGAAAGAGATTACCCATTATAGCATCATGCTATATGACATTTATCAGCATTGCTATCCACATCAAATTATACAGCATAAATTAAAAGTTATCCATTATATATTTTGGAATTCCCATCAAGACGGATCAATCTAAACTCGAATAAAAGTGTGGGTTAAATGATCATGAGAAAATGGTTTTTATGAGTGAATGAATGGCATAAGATGGTGTAAGCCATATTATTTCAGTTTGGAATAGTTATGGCGACGAAGTATGGCAACGGAGGCACATGCAAGTGGATTCCGATCAAGAAGGCAAAGAAGTAGGCCGAGAAATTTTTTATTCTCTGCAAAGGAGCGGAGGGTTGACCTGGACGTGTGGTAAACTCTTTCATAGTCTCTAATATTCCTAATAGTCGGGATCAATCGATTCTTTGGAAGATATTGTAGGATTACTAGATCGATCATTGTCTTTGTGGTCTACCTTAGTTGACATACTTGCTCATTTAAGATCTAGTTGTGTTAGCTGGCCTGGAGGACCTTCAAGGAGAGGTTCCTCCTCAACTTTTCTTATCGGATTTGAGTATAATTTCCAAATTCCGATACCAATCAAGGTAATTTGAGACATTTAATTTATCCTTCGTGTGGATAGTTCGCCGTGAAAATTTTGAACCATAAGAATTTGTGTTTGTAGACAACTACTAAAACAATAATATTTATCAGCGCTTTGATAATTATCCTTTATAAAATTGATACTCAAAAAATTATTTTATGAAAGACTAAGATCCATATTTTACTTCTAGTTGTGAAAAAGATATGTCATAATCACAAATATAAGTTATTTAGATATGTAAAACTCAATACCAATACTAAACTTCATGGAACTCTTAAATTCTTGTGGGATTTATGGACTTTTACTAAGGTGATGTTTGTTTTTTTGAAGCCAAAATGTCTGCAGTCTGCGGACCATATCTGCAAGTCTCTGCGGCAGAAGAGGTGGACCAAATGTCTGCAGTCTACAATAAAAAGACTGTTTGTTTTTAATGTTTGCAGCTGTTGAAATAAATTGATTTTTCAAACTTAATTTCAAGTCATAAACATTAAAAATGCATTTTCAGCAAAAAAAAAAAAGAAAAAAAAAATAGCACGATGGCCCATGTTTTTTTTTTGTTTTGGTTTAGGTTAAAATGAGGTCTGAAAACCTTTGAAGACAGTGGCCCATGTCTGCGCCAGGAAGACCTCGCGCAGACGTTTTTTGATCTACGTACTTCCGAGAAACAAACACTCTGCGAGGGCATATGTCTGCGCGTTGTTTGCGTGGCGCAGACAAAAGTGGTTGCGCAGATCTTCACAAAAAAAACAGCCCCTAAGTCAACACTGACATGTTTAATCTCTTCTATGTTACGGTATGTTGTGGATCACAAAGAAATATTGTAAAGCGTCCATTTAAACATACGTGAGGTCCGACCCAAGTCTCTATGGTATTACGAACACATCACCTTTATAATGTCTAGTCGACGCGTTTGGCAAATGCATTTTCCCACACCAAATGTGTAACGACCCAAATTTTCTACCGATAGCGAGTGCACAATTTCGTTACGTTTCTTTATTGAATTGAACTTTAACATGTTATAAGTTGTTATTCATGGGCCAAAAGTATAAAAAAAAATGAACCTTGAACCTGTACATGGGTCCAAGGAGCATTTTCACATAGTTTGAGAGCCAAAAATGTAACTTATGACGTATTTAAGGGAGGCTAACCCTAATAGTCGGGTTTGTAACCCTAATAGCAGCCAACAATTCAACTTGTTGTTTTGTGATGAAATTGGTGTAGTGTTCTTCTCATCCAATCTCTTATAGCGTTCTTCAAGATTTATAAAGGTTAGTAATGTATCTTTAAACCTTTATTTATGTATTGATTCCTTAAAAATGGTTGTTGTTGAGTTCACGGACAATTTAGGAGGTTATGGTGATGTTTGTCACAAATATAAGAAATCTAAATAGATTGGTTTACCTATCTTGCAAGGGCTGTGGAGGACATTCTGGTCCGAATTAGAGAAAATCACCACAGAAGCAAAGTTATAGGAAATTGAGCTAGTTTCTATAAACTTCAGTATCAACCAATTTGGAGTTATGGATCTTTTTTATGCTCAAAACACTGAACATGGGTCGAGATGGAAAATCCTAAAACTTAACAAAGTAGCATGACTTGTAGTCAAGCTTGTGTAATTAGTATTCGCTTGATAATTGGTTGTTGTGTGTTTTTAGAGAAGGTCTTGACAACTTCAAATGAGTGCAATACTTGAAGCGAACGGAGGCATTCGTTAGGGTTATGGTGAGTCATTCTTTGTGGATAATTAGTACATATGTTGGAGATTTGCATGTGTTGATATAAGTCTTTTGGTCGAGGGTGTTGTATGTGATGTTGTAATCTGGCCATGTGTGAAGTATGAGTAGTATATCTTGTTATTTTTCTGATATTAAAGTAACTAGGGAATTTGTATGCTAGTTATAATGAAATGTTGATTTATGTATGTTTTGAGTGGATAAGTTCATGCTAGAAGTGAGAATTGATTTTTATGTTAAAAATTAAAATGAGAAGTGCATGTTATGATTCCGTTATAACATGTTTGTTGGAATAAAGAAATGCATGCTAGAAAGTATGTTGTTAAGAGATGTATTTTATTACATTCTTTGTATGATAATATGTGGTGTATTTATTTACATGATTTTTATGTTATGACATGTGGTGTATTATGACTTGAGTTAATAAGTTAAATACAAGCATACCTACATAATGTGAATGGTGAGGTGTGTGTATGACCCATGTGAGTGAATTAATTAATTACAAATTAATTAAAAAGGGAATACATATAATGGGGGTAAAAGGATAGTAACCTGAACTTAGGTGCGTACCCTATTTGGATATTACGGTGGAAGAATATCGTTGGAAAAGAGCTTAAGCCAAGGAAATGTTGAGGGGTTTTCTAGATAACCATTTCGAAACATGGTACCGGTGCACAACGGTGTATAAGAACTAGAGTGATGTTAGCTACTCAGAGACACCAAATCAAGCATCATGTTTGGTGGGGGTATATGTGTGGAAATACCAATTACACCACCCTCAAACGACAATCCATCGTACCAGTACATGCAAATTCGAAGTAGTGAATGCGGAGAACCAAAGACGGTGTTAAGGGTGGGAGTCGCCCCCCGCTTAGTGCACTGGGTCGTCAGGTCACGTTAGTAGCGAATGAGGTCTTCTATGGGGGAATTAGCAATGTTTAGACCCATGATAACGATGGACATAAGAGTAATTATAAAGGCGACAAAAATAAATAATTACCATGGTGAAATGTCTACAATTAATATATTCATAACATATTAATAATACTAAATGGTGAATGTTAATTGGTAAGAACATGTAGTGTGGCTGTTTATGTGACTGAATTTCTTATATGATATATGCATGTTTCCATACTTGTGTACACTATGCTGATGCCGACACTTGTTTATTTGCTTATTGCTTTCGCCTTACATTGGTACAAGTAGCTTGATAGATTGGCATGGTGAGGATGGGTACTTTGGGTAGTCATGTTCTAGATGTTTCTCTAGTAGACAATAACATCTTGGACATGTTGTTTGAGTTTTTATTTACTATTGGTTTTGCAAACTTAAACTATTTTGAGGTTTGTTTTTTAAAATTAAATAACGTTGGTGATGTTTTTGGATAATTAAGTCTTCGGCTAACGTATTCTATTAAAAAGTGTCTTAAATGAAAATAAAAATTGAGGTGAAAATCACGGCGTTACAAAAAGACCATTGGGATAAATGTGTATTTTAAATGGGTAGCATATTATTTACATTATAAAAACTGGTGTGCAGTGGCGGAGCTTC